GGCCCACCTTCTCCGAGGTGGCCACGCAGATGTTGCGGGCGCGGGCCTCCAGCTCGAAGGCCTCGATGCCCGTCTCGCCGTAGTCGCCCTCGGACGCCACGGTGGACACGTAGGTCCAGTTGAAGAAGCGAAGGATCTCGGCCATGGCCTTAGCCTGGAAGAAGTCGGGGGGCACCGTGCGGGCAAAGTAGTCGTAGCGGGACTTGTCGCTCAGCTTGGCACTGGTGGACGCGTAGCTGATCTGCGGGATCTGAAACAGCCGCAGGAGGTTGGCCACCTGGGGGGGGGGGGCGGAGAGGGCAAAGGTCAGAGGCAGGGGTGTTCCCGCAGCTCTCCGACCTCGGGACCAAGTGTTCACGTGGTCAGCCGTGAGGTCACCCTCTCCCCAAAGACCCGGATCCTGGGTGCCGTGGCGCCCCCAACCGGGGACGGGGAGAGGGAAGACCCAGGCCGAGCCCAGGGCCCCGAGCCACCCCTGAGCTCCTCCGCTGCCCCCCTCAGACACATGGCAGTCGCAAAAGTGGGAGCCAAGGGAAGGCCCAAGCTGTGGGCGGGGAGAGGTTGGAGCTTGGCTGCACAGGGAGGAGGAAGGCGCCAGATGGTATCGGGGATGCTCAGGGCTCTGACGCCCTCTACCTGTCTGGGCAGTTAACCTTCCCAGAGTCAATCCGGGTGGGATGATGGGGAAAGAAGGAAGAGGCTTCCCAGGAAGGAAGACCCAGATCCGAGGGCCACCATGGCCCTGAGAGCCCACGGGTGGGTCTCCCCTGGGCACCGCCGGCTGCCCCACAGCTCCTCGCCCACCCCGGCAGCTTGGACCTGTCCTGACAGTGCCGTCTCGCCAAGGACCTGGGGAGGGGGGGGGCAGGTGAGAGCAGGAGAAGCTCAGGGTCTGCAGGAGGAGGCCCAGGAGACCAGGGGACCCTCCCCACCCCCACACATTCTGCTTCTCTCCCGCCCGTTTCGCTCCTCGGGGCTGCTCCTGGCTTCTATCTCCCACCCCTTTCCAATCTGTGGAGAGATGAGCTAACAGATCCCAGGCCCTTGGCTGAGAGCCCCAGGTTGACATCTCCACGTTGCGAGGGCCTTGGCGTATGGCTGCCTCTCTTCAGTCTGTTTCCTCACCTATGAAATGGATTAATAATCATAACAGCCAGTACTGACTGTGCCCTTCTGACCCGCCAGCCCCCTGATACATGCTGGGCATGTATTACTTCATTAAATGCCCACCACAACCCTATCCCCTGTGAGTCCCGCTTTATAAGGGGGAAACTGAGGCACAGGACAGTGAAGTGGTACCCAGAGTCACGCAGTGAGTGGGGTGGGGGGTGGGGGGAGCCGGGATTCAAACCTGGAGCTCTGACTCCAGAGGCCTGGCCATTGCCTCCTCAGGGCTGTTTCACCTCAGGTGTGTGTGTGGGGTGGGTGGGTGATGGGAGTGTGATGTTTTCCCTGCACAATCTCTAAAACTGGGCCCCCCCCATGTGACGGGGCACTTTCTCAGTCCCCCGTAAAAAGCCACTCCCAGGAAGCTTCTAGTTCCTCCTCCAGGGCAGGGCAGGGCAGCCCCGAGGCCTGCTCAGTGGGAATCTGTCTCCAGCCTCAGTTTGAGAACCTCCCGCCCCCAGTACCTGGATGGAGACGTCACTGTAGGAGCCGCCGATGACACCGGTGATGGCAGTGGGAGCATCGTCGTTGGTGGCATAGGAGCCGTCGGGGCAGACGTGGCGTGAGCCGTCGGCGCCCCGGCTGAGCGAGGCGCGCACGAAGTCCAGGGCCTGCTCCAGGGCGTACGTGTCCTTGGAGCAGGTGTCCAGTATGTGCGCGCCCAGGCGCACGCCCGGAAGCAGGCGCGGGTCGCGGTTGATGCGGTCCAGCGCGAACAGCATGGCCTCCAGGCGCTGGATGCCGCGGTGCTCGTTGACGGGCCCGCACTCCTCGGCCGGGCCGCCCTTCTGGTGCACGGGGAACAGCCCGCCCAGCACCAGGTCCCCCTCCAGCGTCAGCACCTTCTTGGCTGGGCCCTCGGCCCCAGTGCCCCACAGCAGCAGCGCCAGGAGTCCCAGCAGTGCTCCCATGGCCCCAGAGCAGGTGAGGGCAGAAGCAGCAAAGGCAGGTTTTGAGGGGGAGAGGAGGAGCAGGAGCGGACAGATAGGAAGCAAGAGGAGAAGGGGCCCGGCTCCTGCAGAGGGAGACAGACAGACAGACAGACAGAGAGAAGCAGAATCTGAGAGCGGCTTGACTGCTAAGACCCGCCCCGAGCAGCTGTCAGCTGTCCTGGGGGGCTGTGGGCCTGCCCTGGCTCTCCTCCTACCTTTGGAAGGGAGACTGGTGGGGTCCCAGGACTGCGCCCCCAGCTCCCTATGGGGCTCTCCCCCACATCGCTTCCCCAGGCACTCAGGAGCCAGGGAGGGGTGATGGCACTGACGAGGCTAGGAGCTCCGGGACATCCCTGGCCTGTCTCTCAGCCCTGCCCTGAGCTGGGGCTGGAGGTGGGCCCTGTGTCTATTCCAGACTCAGCAGAGAGGGCAGGAGACGGCACAGGAGACCCCAGCCAACACCCATCCCACCGCAAATCGAAGAGCCTCCCGGACCCTCACAAACCTCCCAGGACCCCAAGGTCAACAACTTCACAGCAGAGACCAGATGCCACTTACAGACGGACCCAGTGCCACCCCGAGGCATGGCTTTCCTGATGGGGCCCTGCTGGCTGCGAGCCCGCCAGGAAAAGGGTGTTTGTTTGCAGCTCCTAGGGCGGCTGGCGCCCAGGTGAGCCCCAAGGGTCCTACCGTGCCCTCTGGTTCTTCAAAAGCCACCCGAGCCCCCTCCCTGGGGGAGTAAGAGAGACCCCGGGCGCTGCAGTTAGGCAGCCAGGAGGCCCCAGGGAGGGACGCCCAAGTGGCCCCCGGTCCTAAGGCAGCAGGGGATGTCGATGTGAGGGGGCCTGTGTCCGTCGGGTGGGGACGGCTGGTCTGGTCCGAACCTCACAGCCGTGCTCAGGGCGAGGCTTTCCCACCTGAGCTCGGCGCTGAAGCTGAGACTTTGCCTCCGCTTCCTCTCCAGCTCAGAGCCCAGGGAAAGTCATGTCTCCAGCCTCCCCACCCTCAGTCAGGGTCCTGTTCCCCGGCCCGCCCTCTCCCCTCTGCAACCGGCACTGCGCCGGCTGCCCTCCCAGACCCCTGCCCGCACCACCGGCTCACGCAGCCATGCAGCCTGGGGAGCTGGGAGAGAGGACCGGAGCCTGAAGAAGGGCAGCAACTCGCTCCAGGACCCAAGTCCTGGCCACGGAGGCTGAGCACGGCCCTCTGCCCCTCACATCCCCAGGGCTAACCTGCTGCTGGTGCCAGGGTGGGGAACTGGGGTCCTGTGGGGGCCGAGAGGGAAGGGAGCAGGGACCCAGATGGGGGCTGAGGCCCAGACCTGTCAAGACCACGAGCCTTTTACAGGGGCGCCAGGGACCGAACCCCCAGAGGAGACAGACACTGCCAGCAGGCAGCCCCCAGGGCCTGGGCCCCAAAATCCGGACAGGGAGCGATCCAGCCCGAGAGGCTGAGACAAAGATAGAGGCACAGACAGAAAGACGGACCAAAGGACGGAGGAGCAGGGGAACAGAAGCGAGGGTCGGGGGAGCGCCGTGCAGGGCGAGCGTTTCCTGGGGAAGGAAGGCGGGACGCCTGGGCTGTCTTCCCGCTTCTGGGTGCCCCGGCAGGAACGGGGCGCCCCGAACTTGAGGG